CCTGACCGGCCTGCAGTGCAGTCTCCCGTTCTGGCAGACGCTGAGGGGAGAGCGCGGAGGTGAGCGGGCCCGGCTCCGGGCGGGCAGGGGACGGGGTGCGGGGGGCACGCCAGTGGCGCGAGGACGTGGGCCCTCCCCCTCCCAGCCCGGGCCGCCTACCAGCGCTCCTCCTGCCTCAGCACCACCTCCCCGGCCTCCAGGTAGAGGCCGTGGTGGTAGCAGGAGCACTTGGCCAGGGGCACACAGCGGCCCTTCTCGTCCAGGAAGGTGTCGTCGGGGCAGCCGCAGCCATCCACGGGTGCGAAGCCCTGCGGGCAGTGCGCGTCGGCCTCGGAGAGCGAGCGGCAGGTGGGCTGGCAGGTGGTCAGGTTGTACAAGAACACCTGGGATTTGGGGCAAGAGCCCACGTCCTCGTCTGCAGAGATGGGAGGCGCGGCGTGAGGCGCGGAGGGGCGACCTCAGCTCCCTTCCCCGCCGGCCGCTCCCGAGCACCCCACTCCCGTCTGGGAGAGGCAGAGGCCTGTCCAGCCAAGGGGCCCACGAGGGTCCCCGGAAGTCCCCACCCCCAGGGAGCCCCTCACGAAGAGAGCAGTGGGCCAACCCCTCCTGCCCCAGGGCACCCGGATGCCTCCAGGGACGGCACTCACTGCAGACTTGCTCCCGCCAGCCCCACAGCAGAACACCCTTGGTGGCACAGGCGCGGGCATAGGAGGACAGAGCGGCACACATGCAGCCCTCGCTGTTCTGGCAGTTACACGCGTCATATTTGCACCTCTGGAGGCGAAGGAGGCAGGCCGTGATGGGGGAAGCAGGTGGGCACACCCTCATGTGCACACACAGCCACGCGCGCACAGGCTCGCACACACAGTGACACCTGTACACATTTACACAGACTGACATTCCTGTGTGACAGGCAGACACACGCATGCACACACACACGTGTGCTTACACGAACATGCTCAGCACTCCCCAGGAGCAGCCTTGCAGGCTGGGGTCAGGCCCAGCCCGGGGCACACAGCACACTGTGCGGGCCCAGATCAGGTGGTGAGTGGTATGTGTGCGGGGCCCACACACCTTGTAATAGTCTGAGGGGTCCACGGCCGAGTGGCATCTGCCAAAGGGGGTCTCCGTCTTCTTCAGCAGGGAGCACCAGTGCTCAGCGTAGTTGGCTGGAGGGGGTGTCAGGACCTTAGCAGGGGCGGTCCCCTCCGGCTCATCCCCTGAGCCCAGCTGCCTGGTCACCCGGGCCCCTCCCTCCAGTGCAAGACCACCTCCCTCAGAAGGTGGGGTCCCCACCACCTCCCCTCCCGCAACCTCCCCTGGCCTGGTGGGTGACACGGCACGGCACCAGCCCCGGGACGAGGGCTGCCACCCAGCGACGAAGGAGCAGGCCCGGCCCCTTTGCTGTGTCTCCTGGCGGGCAGCCACTGTGGGCCACCATAAACCAGCCACGTGGCAGAAGGCAGCAGGTGCGTGGGCTGGCCACCGGCCTCCACCCACCCCCACCCCTGCCGCACGCCCCACAAGGCCGAGCCTCACCGCTCTCGATGTTGAGGGAGCAGGGGTCGTCGAGCCAGTCCAGCTTGTCATGGCAGCTCCACTGGGCCTTCCAGGTATTGGCAAAGCCGGCCCCCGTGGCCTCCACCAGCCCGCCGGCCGTCCTAAAGTCGTCCCATTCCAGGCCGTTGAAGTTCCCGCAGAGGCCTGAGGGGCAGCACAGGGTTGGGAAGGGGCAGGGGGGGTAAGCAGTCCCGGAGCAGGGCCTCTGAGGGGGGCCAGCCGAGCGCGACACTTACCCTGCACACGCCCCTGCACGGCCCGGTCCAGCGTCACGAAGAGCTGCATGACGGGCTCCAGCTGCACCTGCAGCCTGAGACCCACAGCGGTGCTCACCATGAGGTGGCGGGAGGACAGCCGGAAGACAGAGAGGCTGGCTGCGGGACAGGGGCGTTGCGGCTGGTCAGCGGGGGCTCTGGAGCTTCGGGGCCGCCCTCCCGCCCACAGCCCCCGACCCGCCAGGCGCTCCCGGGGAGGGACTCACTGGTCACGTGGGGCAGGTTCACCGGCCGCTCGTTCAGCAGCACGCCGCCGTCCAACTGGAAGGCCACGACCTGGAGGAGGGCGGGGGGACGGCTGCGCTGAGAGGGTCTGGGGGGCCCTGGGGGGCCCTGGGGTGCCGGGAGGGGATGGGGGCACCCACGTTCTTCCCGTTGTCCGCCAACAAAACCACCGTCTTCAGACAGGTCTGCTTGTCCGTGGAGCCGCAGGGGGCCAGCTCACCCAGGAGGGTGTAGGAGTCGTTGTGGTCGCCCTGCCGGGCACAGGGAGATGGCAGTGACTGGTAGGGAGCCCGATGCGGGGCCGAGCCCCACCTCAGCCCACCCACCCGCCACCCGGCCAGCTACCTTGATCAGCACGTAGTAGCAGTCCCCGTGGAAGGTGTACCTCTTCCCGTCGAAGGTGGTGATGTGGGAGCCGCCCTCCAGGGCACAGGTGCCTGGGCACGGCAAGTCTTTGCACACCCAGCGGCCGGCGGTGCAGACGCTGTGGGCAGTGGGACACACAGCGGGCTCAGCGCTGCCCCCCAGCCCCTTGGACCGCCAGCCCTGCCCCCAGCCCCGCAGCCCTGCCCCCCAGGCCCCCGGGCCCCGGACCCACCACTCCTTGCAGTCACTGCTGAGCTGCTGGCCGGGCGAGTACAGGCGCCCGTGGAGTCTGCAGTGGCAGCGGCTCACAGGGATGCAGCCGCCGCCCGCGACGTCATCGTGCACGGTGCCTGGACGGTGCGGGACGCGATGTTACACTTGGCCGGCCTCAGGAAGCCCAGAATCCCTACGCTGGGACTCCCACCGGTGGGGCCAGAGCCCCGGGCTGGTGTGTGAAAGGTGGGGTGACCCCCGAGTTGGGGCCCCAGCCGCGCCTTCCCCTGTTCCTGCTCCTTTGGGTAGCACCTGTGCCCCCTCCCTGTGCTGCAGGAGCCTGGCCTCCGGACCACCTTCCGGGGGACCTCCAGGCTCTGAGAGTGGGGCAGGAGGGCGTGAGCCCACAGAGCGATGACCAGGAAGGAGCCCCGCCCAGACTCCTCAAAGCCACCACGGCATGCGTTTAGGGGGAGGGGGTCTGCCACACTTGCCAGGGAGGGGGGCATTGCACCTCACTTCTGGCGCTGTGGCCGGCCCCCCCCAGCCCAGTTCCAGGGTGCACCGGCCTCAGGGGGCCACATCGGGGCCACGCCCCCACCCCCAAGCCCGTCCCGTGGCCTCCGGGGCGCACACCTTCCGGGCAGAAACAGCCGTCCATGCGGTGCTCCTCGCACAGGCGGCTGCTCTCCAGGTGGGAGCAGGTGTCCATGCAGGGCGAGCCGCTCTCCAGGTAAACCATGTTCCCAGGGCAGCTCTTGGCTAGAAGGGCAAGGGCAGGTCCCTGAGCGGGCACACACTCCCAGGGTAGGGGAGTACAGGGGGCAGCGGAGCAGGACGTCCCCCCGATAACACCCCACTTAGGGCCCCAGGGGCGCCCGCCTCCCCGGCCATGCCGGCCACCCCGTGGAGCTTACGGCAGAACTCGGCGGTCCTCCAGTTGCCGGGCCGGCCGCCGGCATGGGCGCACTGGCGGGAGAACTCGGCCAGGGTGCTGCAGACGCAGGAGCGGCCGTGCGGGCAGTGGCAGCGGTCCTGCACACAGGCCTGCACAAACGGCAGCCGCGGCACCAGCCCCTCGCAGTCCTCGAAGGCCGTGGCCGCCAGCAGATCCTCGCACTCGGCGCGCTACAGACACGTGGAGCGGGGCTCGTTGACAGCCCACGCCCACCCCTTCCCGCGACACCCACGGCAGCCCCCCCGGCAACACCCCCCCCCCCCGCCCCAGCCCTGACTCACGTGCTCGGAGCAGGACTCTGGGGCCGGCCCCTCCTCAGGGTCATCGCACACCACCTCAGGCTTATGGACCTTCTGCAGGTTCCCGAACTCAATGGCACTGAAGAGCACGCCTGGGGGCATGGGGGACCGTCAGCCGGGGGTGCCCAGAGCCTGCACACCGCCACCCCCACCGCCCCCGCCAGGCCCCGGAGGAGGCCCTCACCGTCGGACAGGAACTCGGAGTAGGTCTGCAGGCCGTTGTAGTCCCCGCAGAGGCCGCACGTGTGGTTCCGGAACTTGCTGTCCAGCTCCAGCTGTTGGGGGAGGAGGGGCGGGTGAGGGGCCGGGGCCCAGCAGGACCACAGCCACAGCGGCCGGGGTGAGCCTCCCATGGCCGGGCTGGCCTCAGCGTCGCCTCTGAGTGGCACTGGGCACGGTGGAAGGGCTGGAGTCAGCCGGGCGGTGCTGGAGGCAAGGGTTACCGAGGACCAGGAGGGGCTTGGGCGGGGGAAGGCCGAGCCCAGCTCCCCTCTCCCTGAGGTTCCCCACCCTGGGAGGGCTGCACGGCCCCACCCAGGCTCCCCCACAGCGCTGCCGCCGGCCCACACGGAACCCACCGTGACAAGGGTTGGGCCCCAGGCGCCTGCGCTCCCCTTGGACCCCAGAGGCCTGCAGGAGGCACCTGGCCCCAGGCCCCAGGAGGGGCCGCACCCACCATGAGTGAGTCCTCGCGGTTCCACATGAGGGTGAGTCCCGCACGGGAGTAGACCTTGGTGTAGGCGTCATTCTTCTCGATGAGCAGCCCGGAGCTGTAGTGCGGCATGCGGACCCTGGGGCAGGGGTGCGGGGCGGGACTCACTCGCCAGCCCACTTAGCCGCCCACCACAGCAGGCCCTCCGCCATCCCTCCGTGACGGGAGGGCCTGAGGCCGCACGTGGGAGTCCTCAGCTCCCAGCTGGTGTGTGGGGGGCACAAACAGCGTGGCCGCCCTCTGGGCCGGCTTTGACCCCGGCGGCACAGCCCCCGTCCACCCCCTGCCTGCCTGTCTCCCTGTCCGCACCCCCTCCACAGGGGCCTGTCCTCAGAGCCAGGCTCTGCCCACCCCCTGACCAGGGCTGGCCCAGGTGCTAGCTCGCCCCAGGTCTGTGCCCAGCCTGCGGGGACTGGGGGAGACAAAGGACAGAGCCGTGGAGGCTGGGCAGGAATGCAGCTTACAGCCTCATTGTTCCAGAGACAATGGGGGACAATGGCCTGGGAGCGGGAGGGGCTCCCACCGGCTCCCCCTTCTGTAACTGGAGCTTGGGTGCTGCCTGGGGCCCCCAGGGGAGGGGCAGGAAGCCCCTCGCCCCCACTGGGGGCCGCCGCCCAGCCACACTCACACGGCCCCGTTCACTACAACCAGCTGGCGGGTGAGATAGATGGTGTCGTCCTTGATGGTCAGCAGGATGTACTCGAGCCCAGGGCGCCCCCCGTCGCGGCCGGAGACCCGCTTCAGGTGCACCGTGAACTCCTTGTAGGAACCCCTGCAGTCGGACGCGAAGTTGTAGTCGCACAGGCCGGGGAAGCGGAAGAGGTCGCCGTCGAAGGTCTTGTAGTGGAAGTCGCCCCAAGTGCTGCAGACGCTGTGGCCGTGGTTCCGGGTCCTGCCCTCTGGGGGAGCAGGGGCGTGCGGGGGTGAGCAGCCTGCACCCCCAGGAGGCCTATCACGAGGCCCGCCCAGCAGCCACCCTCCGAGCGCCCTCCGTGAGGCTGTCCTGCTGGAGTGGCCCCTGCTGGACCCCGGTCACCCCACCCGGGGGGTCTCAGCCGCCCGAAAGGACATCTCCTGCTGCCACACCCTCACGTCCCAGCCTGGCGTGGGGTCTGCCAGGCAGGCAGTGGGGACAGAAGGGCTTTCCGGAAGCCCACGTACCCTGTCCGCCCAGCCCGGGGTCCCCTGCCCTGTCAGGGCCGGAGTCCATGCACCCTCAGGCAGTGCCCACATCGCATCTGAATATGCAAGGCCAGCTCCCCTCCGGGGGCTTTTTCCCCCAACCCGCATCAGATGGAGACGTCCCCAGTCTTTTCTGGAACGACCCCTTCATCATGCGTCCAACACCCACTCTGCAGAAGGGCCGTCTTGGCCTCAGCCCTCCGAGGGTCCCTGGCAGCCCCTCTTGCCTGCCACGTGCAGGTGTTTCCAGAAGGCACCACATTGCAGACACACGCTCTGGCCAGGAGATCGCCATCAAAGGGACGGCACGAACCCAAGACCACCCTCCCTCCTTCCTTCCCTGTACCCAAAGTCTGCAGGGCTTGGTGGGCAGGACCCCCGACCCCAGTGGTGCACCCCAAAGGCTGGGCAGGGAGGGTCACTACTCCCAGGTAGAGCCTCTCCTCGGGGCCGCCCTGGCCTTCCTGTCACTTCTCACCTCTCTGGAGCTCTGCGGCCCCGGGGGAGCTCAGGGCCAGGCCCACGGCCACCAGGAGGGTGAGCGGCAGCCCCATGGTGGCTCAGAAGGGTGGGAGGGAGAGCAACTGGGGCAGGGGTCCGGGCCTTATATGGCCCAGCAGGAGCGGCAGAGGCGGGGAGAGCAGGGGAGGGGCGAGGGGAGGGTGGGGCGTTTGCCAGTTTATCAAGAAAACAGGTGTGGGGCCTCCGGAGGGGCCACTGGGAATATTGACTCAGGCTATCTGTGGGTTATCTTTATTGAGCCCTCGGTAAAGCCGCCCTCCTCAGGATACCTCAGCACCCGGGCAAGTGCAGCCCCTCCCAGCCCCGGCCCACCCTCCCTGGCGTCCCCACAGGGCCAGGCTCGAACGGGGCGCTATGCCGATGGTGGCTCCGGACAGGACCCCTGCCCCACATGAGCTCCTCTGTCCCACTCTGGTCCCCCAGCTTTTCCCACCAGGGGCCCGAGGCCCCCAAGCCAGGGGACGTGTGGGCACCTCGGAGGTCCCGGGGCTGCCCCACCTCGGTATGGACTCGGCTCCCTGGCTCAGGTCAGCAGGTGGCTCCACGTCCGGCCCCCCCGGCCCTCCCGCCCCCCCCCCCACGCCCAGTACACCCTCTAATCCCCTCGTGTTCCCAGGCTAGGCCAGTCTCTGGAATTACTGTAACTGGAACTTAGGAAGCCCAGCCAGGGGCCGCTTAACTGAAACGCATCCTCTGGGGCCTGGGAGGCCTGGCAGGAGGCTGGGAGCGGACGTCCTCTAGGGGAATGAGGCCCAGACACAGCCCCAGGCTGGCAGCCTCCCCTGCAGGCCCAGAACGTCGTCTTGTGGGAAGTAGGGGGAGAACTGAGGGCTCGGACGCCACAAATTATAACCTAGTGGTCCCCAAGCTTCAGGGCAAGTGGGCAGGGACTCGCGTCAACAATCAGCAAGACTCTGGGGAAGGTGGATGCCGCAGGTGGGTGCGTGGGACACCCCGTCTCCCTGACCCAGGCTCCCCTCTGAGGGGCACCCGAACCCAGTCAGCACCGTGGCCTACCGTCTCACCTCCCGGTGGCCCTTCCCCTACAGACAGGACCTCCACGCCACAGTGACAACACCTAAGGACGAGACGCTGCTCACACCACCTGACGACTCCTGGGGGGTCCCATCGAGGGTCCAGGGTCGGACAGGGAAACCAGGAGCCAAGGGCAGGGAGCCTGCCCCTCCCAGGGGGCCTGCGATGAAGCCCCTTCTCCCATCTCAGTCTGACGCCAGCTGCAGGACTGGAAACTGTCCTCATTCAGGAACCCAGGGACCCGGGCACGAGCGTGTGGTCTGAGCCAGGAGCAACAGGGATTAGGAAACCAGAGCCAGATGGGCCCGCCGGCCCACTATCCACTGCCCTGTGGGGCCAGACAGGCTGGCACCGAGCCCTGGGGAAACCCAAGGACAGGGACCGCGATTTTCCATGACAGGCTTCCTCTGCCCTAGTGGGCTTCAGAGAAAATCCTGGCCCCACAATGGTCACCCGGCCCAGCCCCTCCTGCCCGGAGCATTAGAGGCAGGAGTCCTCCCCTGGGATTGAGAATGTGGGTCCTCCCCTGGGACTGAAAGTGGGGTCTTCCCCTGGGATTGAGAACCTGGGGTCCTTCCCTGAGACTGAGAAGTTGGGGTCCTCTACTGAGATGGGGATGTGGAGTCCTCTACAGGGACTGAGAAGGTGGGGTCCTCCCCTAAGATTGAGAAGGTGGGAGTCCACTACTGGGGTCTGAGAAGGGCAGCCCTATGTGTCCTATGTGTGGGGCAGTTACGCTGACCTGAGGCCCAGAGGTCTGAGCCAAATCCTCCTGGCCCAGCTGTGGGGTCTCGGGTGGCACCCTGAGCAGCAGTGACATCAGGCCACCAGGCATGGGACAGAGGCTCAGAGCACGTGGGGGGAAGGAGCCTGCAGAAGCAGGTGGTGAATGCATCAGGCCGGGGTGACCAGCGCCACCCCACTGCCCCCAGCAGACTCTGGGTCAGCTTCCCACGCTCAGCGCGACCCTCAGAGCCCTGCCCGGGGGCCAGCTGGGTTGCCTCACTGTGGCCGTGGGGCGGCTCACAGGTGAGTCAGTGGGACGCAGGCTGTGCTGCGTACGGGACAGAGATGCCCATATTGGGCCGTGAGCGCCTGGTACGCTGTGACACAAACCCCCACCACCTCTACCATGGGGACAGACATGCCCCTGGAAGTGTACCATCTGCAGCTGGAGGCGCTCTCCCCAGGGCCCAGGGGGGACACAGCCCGGCCCAGCGGCAGTGGGAGGTCGTCGAGGAGACACTGACTGCCCGTCCCCAACAGGTGGACCCCCAGCACGGGGCCGGGACGCCCTGAGCCTCCCTGCGAGGCCCCACGCCCAGCAGTGTTTACCCTGACAAGTCACCGTCCCTGAGGCTTGCATGACCTCACCACAGGGAGACCACAAAGACGTCACAAAACAGCCTCAAGTGACTGTCCCACCGCTTTCTGTCCACAAACCTGACTCATCAGGAAGGGGGGCTGTGGGGGAGGGGAGGAAGAAGGAAGGAAGGCTGTGGAGAGAAGAGGGAGCCTCACACCTGTCGGAGAGACCTGAAGATAGCAGGTGTGTCCCCAGCCCACCAACACCCCGTTTTGAGTCGCCTGGTGTGAAGGTTAATTTTATGTGTCAACAGGGCTAGGCCGTGGTATCGTTGAAACGCCAGTCTAGATGCTGCCATGCGAATGGATCACCCTTCATTGTGTGGGTGGGCCGCACCCAAGCAGTTGAAGGCTGTCGTAGGGAAAAGACAGAGGGTCCCACAGGAGGAAAGAGTTCTGCTTCCAGGTGGCCTTTGGTCTGGAGCAGCAACATCAGCTCTTCCCCGATGTCCAGCTTGCAGGCCCCCACAATTCCTTCAAATCTCTGTCTCTCCCTCTCTCTCTCATGTATACGTACATGTGCCCTTCTCAGACCCTACGCCCAAACCCAGCTCCACAGCTCTGGCCGAGCCTGGTCAGGCAGATGGAGAGTGCGCCCAGAGACATCATGGGTTCTCATCCCATGGACACCCAGGGAAACCCCAGCCCCAGCCAGCCACGGGGACAGAGCCCCTGGCACGTGAGCGTCTGAGGACCCAAGAGCAGGAAACAGCGTGCCAGCCGTGCCCATGTCCACCCGTGTCCTCCCCAAGACATCAGAAGGGGGCACTCAGACCCCACCATGTGCCCACTACACGCACCTTCAAAGATTCTGAAAGATCTGGGGTGCGCAAGCCCAGGCCCCACAGCCGCCTTTGGGCAGTCACCCCCACCTCGAGATCTGGTCCAAGTGTCATGCCCTTGCCCTGACTATTGTCCTCACCACACCGGCCAGAATGTGTCCCACTGCTGCGCCCTGACTATTGTCCTCACCACACCGGCCAGAATGTGTCCCACTGCTGCGCCCTGACTATTGTCCTTACCACACCGGCCAGAATGTGTCCCACTGCTGGCCTTTCTGCTATAAGTGCCTTGAGGGCAGCTGCCTATGTGGCCTCCTCAATGGGCCATCTGGGTGTGCTCAGTGATTTTTGCTTCTGAGGGGCTGAGTGGTGGTAAAGGGAGGAAGGGGGGAAAAGAAGGAATAGGGAGGATGGGGGTGGGTGGATGAAGAGTGGACGGACGGATGGACGGACCGGTGGACAGATGGATCACTGAATGGTTGGATGGATGGATGGATGGATGGATGTGGGCAGGTGAAGAGATGGGCGTGGGGATGGGTGGCTGGTAGGTGGGCAAACGGGTCTGTGGCTAAATGAGTGGTAAAGAAATGACATCTCCGGGCTGATGGGGTGCGCCCTCCGTACCGCAGAGCTCACGCGTCGCAGTGCCTGTCATCTACAGGCAGTGGCCGGGTGCTGAGCTGCCACAGCTCATCGAAGCCCCCACGGTTCTGGGAGGCTCGGGCTCACATTACTCCATCCTAGAGGTGAGGAAACCAAGGGTCGGGGAGGGTGAACCATCACCGTGAGCTCTCAAGCCAGAGAGCGGCAGAGCCGTACAGTGGATCCCGGGACCGTCTCTGCCCTGAGCCCACTGTGTCCGCAGAGCGACAGAGCCGTGGCCATGTTTCGCAGAGGGCTGATGGCGGCTCTTTGGAGAAACCCGGTATGAGTGACAGGAAATCAGATGTTCCGGGTGGTATCGGGTCCCTTGTGGAGCCCCCAAGGACAGCACCCTGTGCCCCCCCAGCCCCTAGGGAAGTCACTTCATGTATGTGCAATACAGTTGGATGGTCTGTCGCGCTCGCGCATGCACCCTGGGATCCCCGACATCCTCACTCGGTTTTCCTTTTGCGCAGAAGCCTCAAGCATGTGAAGTTCTGTGAGTCGGAGCGAACACGCCCCCCTGACTCCCACTCCCTCAGCCCACTCAGCCCTCCGTCGAGACCACCGCAATCACTGGCGTTCTTTTACCGTCATTACAGTTTTGCCTTGGATATATGCTTATGATTACTTTCAAATCTCTAATTGCCAAAATAATTTTAGCATGTCGTGTTCCTCTTATAAATTACAGCGATGGTTTTGTGAGACACTCTCGATTTCTGCTCTGGAAAATTCAGAACAAAATTTCATCTAATAGCTGCAACTCAAAATATTTTAAAACGGCTTTACTGAGGTGTAGCTCCTATGCACACACCGAGCCCGCCTAGGGTCCAGGCCGTGCGTTGGACATAAACACGCACCTGAGGTGGCCGCCACAGTCAGACGACCCTGCGTACGGCCGTCACCCCGTGAAAGATTCCGTGTGCCCCTTCCCGGCTCAAGAGGTACCTCCGACCTCTTTTCTCACCCTACAGGTTAGTTTGCCTCTCCTGGGAGAGGAAATCCAGCACACATTGAAGGAAGACTAAAGAGCCTGCTCGGACTTGGGCTGAGACCGCATCGTATCTCCAACCGAGTTCAGGCAGAATCCGTCTTACCGACCCGCGTCTTCCAACCCGCGGACGTGGTCTGGCTCTCCCCGGCTCATGCCTTTCACTTGTCCAGGCAGAGTGTGGCACTCAGTTGCAGGGGCCTTTCGTGTCCACTGT